GCACTGCTGGCTGCCCCTGCCCACCATCCCAAGCGTTTGCCTTTGGTGAGGGCTCTGCGCCCGTGGTGGAAGAGTTGGCTGTTCCAGGAGATGGATCCTATAGAACTGTGCGTCAGCACCCTTGAGGCATGCTCCGTGCTAGGGGGATGTATCCTGGTTAAAGATTCGGCTCTGGGAACAGAGGAAGGGCAGGGACAGGGGTCTGAGAGCGCCACTCCATTTGACATTGTCACCCAGGCATGGGTCGCTTGGGGTCAGAAGGCACCCTTAGAGCCTGTGCAGGGCAGGAACCGCTACCACCTGTTGGCCATACGTTTCTCAGCGAACAAATGACTTCATTTTGGCATCAGAAAACTATAACGTCACACCTAAACTTCCACGAGGCTGAGCTCTTCCTGCCCCTCTCTCTCTGTGTGTGTGTGTGTGTGTGTGTGTGTGTGTGTGTGTGTGTGTGTGTGTATTGAGGGGACGCAGCCGCTGGCCACCTTCCATTGGCACAGGTTGGCGAGGCTTCATGACTGCCCAGCCCATGCAGCCCAAGAGTCCCACGGCCCAGCCCGTGCCCAGGCTCATCCACTGTGGTGGGTGAGCTCTGCCAGGGGAGGCTAGGAGACCCCAGCGGTGAACCTTGGCCTTGGGATCTGCCAGGACTGTGCCCAGGATGGCAGGGAGGGCGAGCTCTGGTGCCTGCAACTTGGAGCCATCTGTCAGTCTCTCTTCTGCTGTCTGTGGGTCTGAGAACCCCCAACTCGTCCTCCCTCCTCCCCACACGTATGACCTACAGCTGGATCCTCTGCCGCTTCTCCCCCCAGGGCTTCAGAGACAACCTTCACGCCGTGTTCTGCTTGGCTGAGAACTCGGTGGGACCCAACGCGACCAGGCCAGATGACATCCACCTGTTGTACTCAGGGAAGTACGTCTGACCCTCCGGCTCCTTCCTGCCCACTGTTGGAATTCATGACCCCTCCCTGGCCCGCAGTGCCACTTCACTCCAGACACACTGGGAGGGCGCCCAGCAGCAGGCTCCTTGCTTCCCAGAGTGCCGGGGAGCTTTGGTAGCAGGGGCACCTCATATTGAGGGGCCCGTGACGCCTGGATGAGGTGCTAGGCTCCCTTGCAGTGCCTGGCCAAGGAGCTCATGGTCTACCCTGCATTACCAGGACAGGCCTTTCCAAAATGCAGGCCTGAATTATTTGGGTATGTGAAGCTCTGACCCCCAGATTTCCTGCTCGGGGGTACCCCCTGGGTCTCCCCCTTGAGATTGACTCTGGAGAGTCAAAGCTGAGCTGGCTGCTGAGGAGCAGGTGGCTCCAGAATGCAGAAGAGAAGAGCTGTCCCCAACCCCGGGCGCTGGTGCCTGAGCGGGCGCCTCCCCGCATCTCCTGCTCTTCCTCCTCATCTGCCGGGTGCCAGGCACAGTGTGCTGAAGGCCAGCCCAGCTGGTTCATGCCACCCACTTTACAGATGAAGAAACTGAGGCATGGGGGAGCCAAATGGCTGGTCCCTGGCTCTCGACTCAAGAGCAGCAGGGCAGGGATGTCATGGAAGCCCTTTGCTCCAGGCACTGCATTGCTGTAGGGACTGGGGCCATCCCAGCCTCCCCAGTGGGGGAATGTGTCGGGGTTCGGGGAGCCACAGGGATGGGCAGCTCCAAATGGGGTCTTCCCAGTTCCAAAGGGGCTCACGCCAATGTCCCAGGGAATGCCGTCCCTGAGCGGGGATCTCTGCCGTGCCCCAGGACGGTGGAAATCAACAACACGGACGCCGAGGGCAGGCTGGTGCTGGCAGATGGCGTGTCCTATGCTTGCAAGGACCTGGGGGCTGACATCATCCTGGACATGGCCACCCTGACCGGGGCTCAGGTGAGTGCTGCCTGGGTCCACCCCTCAGCTGCGGCACCAGGGAACCTCACCCCCCTCTGGACCTTGAGGTGGGGAAGGCAGCGGGTGGGGGCTGCCGTCAGAAAGTTTTCATAACTGGGCACGAGGAGGGAGGAGGAGCTGCCCATTGAGCTTGGTGTGGGCAGCGCCGAGACCCAGGCTGGACGCAGAGCCCGGAAACACCTTCTCTGTGCTTCATGGCCACAGTCCTTTCTGCCTGTGTTTTTTTCTTTTCTTCTCAACCATCTCTCTTCTGGCTCCCTTATTTCTCTGTCTGCCTCGCAATCCCTCTTTTGGGTGTTTCTCTCCTGCCATCCCGTCCACATGCTTCCCGGGTTCCTGCCCACCCAGGGCATTGCCACAGGGAAGTACCACGCTGCGGTGCTCACCAACAGCGCTGAGTGGGAGGCTGCCTGCGTGAAGGCGGGCAGGAAGTGTGGGGACCTGGTGCACCCGTTGGTCTACTGCCCCGAACTGCACTTCAGCGAGTTCACCTCAGCCGTGGCTGACATGAAGAACTCGGTGGCGGTAGGTTTGGAACCTGGAGCCTGGAGCCTGCCACTTGGGTGGAGCCGGGCAGGCAGAGCCCTGCCTTCAGGGTGCTGGTGAACCCAGGGAGCTAGGGTCCCCCAGAAGCAGCCACAGTGCAGATGAGGGCCTGAGAGGCAGGTGTCGGGGCACAGGAGCCATCCCAGACGGCATGGGCCACTCACTGGCTTCCCTGCCACACAGCCAGGGGTTTCTCCCCTAGTCTTGGATCTGACTCAGCTGCCCCGTCAGGCCCTTTGCTGGCTTCCCCGTTGGCCTATGGTGGGGGCAGACTCCTTGGCTCATGGTCAAGGCCCTCCCAGCCCAGCTTCAGCTGCCTCCCCACACTGACTCCCTCCGAGCCACCCCGGGCTCCTTGCAGACGGCAACAGTGAGAGACGATGGGGGAGGGTGGAGAGGGCCCGGCCGGAGCAACCCACAGGCACTGTGTCCTCCTGGCCTCCCTAGGACCGAGACAACAGCCCCAGCTCCTGTGCTGGCCTCTTCATTGCCTCACACATCGGCTTTGACTGGCCCGGAGTCTGGGTCCACCTGGACATTGCTGCACCGGTGCATGCCGTGAGTGTCCCCACTCTCCACCAGCCCAGGCTGCTCCTGCCCTCTTGTCCAAATAGAGTGTCCCTCTGGCTCTGGAGCTGCTGGCCGAGCTCATCAGAAACTTCTGTGTCCGTGACCCAGCTTCCAGTCTGCTGTCCCGCCCAGGTCTCATCCTCCCTGGGAACAGAGTGGCTGCTGTGTGTGACCCTTCCCCAGCCAGCCTGTCCTCCACAGGGGGCCCTGGGCCCTCTGTCTCACCCATCCCCACCCTGAGGAGCTCCTGGGGTTGAGGCAGAGCACACAGGGCCTTGCCCACCACCTGTGTCTGGCCTGCTGGCCCTGAGTGTGTCCAGCCAGCAGCATGGAAGGCCCAGGGCTCCAGCTGGTGCTCAGGATCTCCTTCCTGAGAAGGGGACTGTGGGGCACGTGGAGGGGACCCAGGAGGTGAGGGGTCCCCAGGAGCCCCTCCCGTGCTGCAGCCCCACGCCCAGAGTCTCTGTCCTGCGCTTTGCTTGCAGGGTGAGCGAGCCACGGGCTTCGGTGTGGCCCTCCTGCTGGCGCTCTTCGGCCGTGCCTCTGAGGACCCCCTGCTGAACCTGGTGTCCCCGCTGGGCTGCGAGGTGGATGTCGAGGAGGGGGACGTGGGGAGGGACTCCAAGAGACGCAGGCTTGTGTGAGCCTCCTGCTTCGGCCCTGACAAACGGGGATCTTTTACCTCACTTTGCACTGATTAATTTTAAGCAATTGAAAGATTACCCTTCAGATGGGTTTCGGTTTTTCTTTGTGGTCGTCACCATGGTGGTGGAAACAGCTGAAGTTTTAGGAGACAGCTTACAGTTTGGTGCAGGCCACGGTGAGGGGACCGGCAAGCGCTGGGGCTTGTTTCTGTTAGTTACTTACAGGACTGAGACAGCTTCTGTAAATTGCTACCCTTGGGGCCTTCTGCACCCCGGGGTGAGGCCTCCTGCCTGCCTGGTGCCCTGTCCCAGCCCCAGGTCCTGTGCAGGGCACACGTGTGGCTGACAGCCAGGCTCTTACTCCAGCCGGGGCTGCCAGGGCATCCAGCCAGCCCAGCCCTGTGAAAGATGGAACTGACTTGCTGCAGGGGACCCGATTTTATAGGGCAAGAGAAGTCACACTCTGGCCTCTTAGAATTCACTTGAGGTTCAATTAAATATGGTCACACCACCCCCTCACCTGGCCTCCTTCTTCTTCCCTCCACCCTCCATTTTCAAAACGGGTCCTGGAGCACGTCTGGGGACTGAAGTGCAGGGCTGCCTCCTGCTTCTCCCAGACCAGCTCTGGCTTTGAGCCCCAGCTGGTCAACCCAGTGTTGATGACAGGAGCCCGGGGAGGAGCACAGTGAGCCACTGGGCCTAGGCCTGGCCCTCCTGATCATTTTGATTTTCTGGGTGCGCACAGCACAGACTCCAGGCGGAAGCGCTGTGGGCTCTCGAAGTCTCCACAGCCCGGCAGCCTGCACGGAGGCTGTTCTGTCTCCCGAGGGTCCTGGAGCCTGTCCTGTGCGAGGCTGACTGTGCTTCCGCGCCCCTGGCCACACTGTCCCGGTGATAAAGGGCAGGGCCCCGAAGCCAATTCAGATTTCCCGGGAGCCCGTCAGGATTCAGGGAACCCCTGAACCTGGGCTCCAGGAGAAGCAGGTGAAGTGGGTCCATGGCACCCAGGAGCCCGCCTTCCACTGGCTTGGGTGACAGTGCAGGCCAGGACCTCGTCCCTGCCATGCATCCCCTTTGCCCTCAGTCACAGCAGGGCCGCCTGGGGCCCCCCAGGCAGGGATTGGGTCTGAGGCCCCACAGGGAGGGGGACAGTGCTCCTCTCTCTCCAGCTGGGGCCGAGGGCGAGGACCTGGCTGCAGCTCTGCGGGACACGTGGCCCCAGGCTGCGTCCTGAGTCCCTGGCCACCTCACCCCAAGGGTCCCCAGACTCCAAGTGCCCCCACAGCCCTGAAAATCAAGGTGACTCTTTCTGGGCCTGATCCCAAGCAAATATTTATTAACTGCCTGCTGTGTACACAGCCCTGGCTGGGCCTGAAACGGCAAGAACTGGCTCCAAGGTCCTGGCCCTGTCTGAGGAAACTGCCACCCAACACAATGCCAGCCATTGTGGGCAGCAGCCGGGCAGACGGAGCCGGAGCTTCCAAGCAGGGGCGGCTGCAGCCGGGCTGGGAGCCTTCACGGGTCATTAGCTTGCTTAATGGCGCTGCAGTAGGCCCCGCTCGCCGGCCTCCCCTGAGACACCCAGAGGAGGCAGAGGTCACGAGGTGGTCTGGCTCCTTCTCCAGGGCAGCTGGCACCGTCTGCTCCCCCTACCAGGGGTGCGCCCGTGTGGACACAGGATGCAGGGTCAGGGAGCAGGGGAGGAACTGAGTCTCCCTTGTGCAGGCACAAAGGCGGCCTCAGGACCAGGGACCCAGCTGGGCACCAGCTGCTGGCTGGCCTGGCCTGCCTGCCAGTGTCAGGGGTCCCATGGGGGTGAGCCAGAGGCCTGGCTTTCCCCGGGGCCAAAGGGCTCTAGGAGGCAATAGCTGCTTCCCCAGGGCCCGCCAGAGCCCTGGCAACAGGGTCATGGGGCGGCCGGCGGTGCTGGGGGGCAGGTGGGTGCTCTGGGTCCGCTTGATCATGGTTTCCGGGAAGCAGTGCAGGAAGATGAACTTGGTGCAGAGCTCCCACAGGCAGGCTAGCGCAAAGCTCCGAGGAAGTGCTCCCAGATGAACTTGGCCGAGAGCATCACCAGGGCCACGAGGAGCCCAGTGATGCTGGGGAAAGCAGGCGGGGCTAGGACCCCACCCCCACCCCCTCCCTGGAATCCCCCGGCCCACCTGGGTGATGTTATCCCAAAGACAGGGACAAGAGATGAGAGGATGGAAATGTCTCTTTGGGAAAAAGGCTGCAGGAGCTGGAGGTGATGAACAGAGCAGGCGAGAGGAAAGGGAGGCCCCCTCCTCCTGCCATGTTAGAGAAGGGAGCCCTGGATCTGGCTGCCACCGGTGGCTTGTGCACACCTGGGGCTGAGGGCACACAGGGCTGCACATACACATTCAAGGCCACTGTGAGAACAGGTGAGCAGGGCCAGAGGGCTGTGGAAAGCCCAGCTGAAAGCTGCACTTCCAGGCTGAAGAGCGTTTTACCGGCATCTGCCAGGAAGCCTGGGCTCTGGGGGCTGTCATTGTAGATGACCACTTCCAGGTCGTGGCCACAGCCCCGGTTCTGGTCACAGCCAGGCCACCAATCCTCCTGCGCCACCCACCCCTTATCCACCAGGCTGTCTTCAGGGCATCGGCTGGCCTCAGTTGTGGCAGCCAGACCCTGATGTTGCGCAAGAAGGCCGGCCAGTCCATATCGTGCAGCCTGCGAGGGTGCACTGGGTGAGAGGGGTACAGTCCCCAACCTGGGAGGGGACCCTGATGCACGTCCCCAGAACTGAGGGAAAAGTCTCTCCCCAGAGGTCAGGTCTTTGTCAGCAAAGGTGGGAAACCAGGGGAGTGGCGGCCCCAGGCCCCAGAGACATTTGAAATGACCTCAGAAGACCCAGGGCCACTCAGGGCGACCACATCGGGGAGCTGCCTCTGACAGGCTGTGACGGATGTTTAAGGAAGGGATCGATGGTCACCTGACTCTCAGGAGTGCAGGAGAGGCCACTGAGGCCCGTTCAGAAGGGACTGGGTGTTGGTCCCTGTGGACTCGGCCTCTGGCTGGTGGTGAGGAAGAGGATTTCTCACCACCCATCCTCTGGCCCCTGCTGCCTGAGGGAGCAGACGCCTGTGAGGCGGTTTCCGGGAAGTTCGTCTCCAGCAGGAACTCCAGGCCAAGTGCACGTCTCTGATCACGTGTCACCGTGGCGGTGCGTGCGTGCGTGCGTGTGCACTGGTCTGTGGCCTGTGGTGTGTGAGTCCCACTAGGACCCATGTGAGGTAGAGGGTCTTCCGCCTCGCCTCCCATTCAAGCCCTCCCTGTACCACACAGACACCCATGTGTGCCCTCCCCTTCTGTGCCAGCAAACATAGAAGAGAGAGACACTTAAAAGAGGCAACTCGCATGGAATGAAGCTGTTTCTGTTGGGGAATGCTTGGATGTTCAATCATCTTAGAAAATCCTACGCCACCTCCCGCTGCAGATTAATTACTCTAAGTGCAACTCCGATTGGGCTGGTGACCCCCCAGGAAACCTCTGAAGCTGTCCCAGGCTGTTCCCAACATAGGGCCTCCACTCTGGCACACCAGGACCCGAGGCCGCGACAGGCTCCTCATTCCTGCCTCGCTCAAGGCTCAGGTCCCCCACCTGAAATACCCCCTCCCACCAGCATCTCCTGCCTCAGTCCTGCTGCCAGGTCCCCAGAAGCTCTTGTTCATGAGCTTGCCTGCCATCCACAGCCCCCACCACAACCCAAGTGGCTGTTGAATTCGCTGCCCTGATTCTCTGCCCAGAGCCTCGGTTCAGACTGTGTTCCCTGGCGAATTAGTGTTCAGCATTTTTGTTTATTTGTTTGTTCTTTAACAAAAGGTTGTTTTGGTTTGAGATTCAGCAAAAACACACACTGCATTCAGCTTCCTCTCCATTCAGGATTCAGTAAATTGGTTGTTTTCCCGTCTGCTTCAAGTCCTTGCCTCAAATGAGCCTTCAACAAGATAATGCATTTAAAAGCCCTTGGAAAAGTACCAGGCCCTGCACACATGTACAGCCCAGGCCCCGCGCACATGTACAGCCCAGGCCCCGCGCACATGGACGGCATTGTCATCGTGCACTCTCGGAGGCAAACCCGGCAGTGCACAAAGTTCCCACCCCACCCACACGAGGCTCAGCTCCTGGAGAACATGGCCTCAGCGGGGGTCCTTCCCCACGGCCTCACAGATAGGGCTCAGGAGGGAAGGGGCTGCCATCGTGCAACCCTGCTGCTAGGCTGGTCCCCAAAGCCCAGACCTGTGCCCCTCCCCATGGCCCGGGCTTGCTTTCTTCCCTTGCACAGGGCTGAGGGGACAGGGATGCAGCAGATGAGATGCTAACACACCTTCAGGGAGGTGACAGTCCTTCCTGACATCCAGCCAATAGGCCATTTTTGCTTTCAGTGCCCGCTGGAATCCTGAGGGCTTTGGGGATCAGTCCAGGGAGCATTCTGCAGTCAGGAAAACAACATTGAAAACCAAAACCCACAATTAAAAAGCTTAGAAGCCTGGTTTACATTCACTGATAGCGCAGTTAGAACCCACGGCAGCCTCCATCTGAACGATCCGTTCCCATTGGCTGCGTAAGAAACTCAGTGATGTCATGGACCCCTTCACATCCCTTAAATAAATTTAGCAGTAATGAGGGCAGTTACCCCAACTTCACAACCATGAGTACTTTTGAGCCTGAGACCCCCTTTCTCCTAACGAGTTGGATAAGTTTCTGTGGCGTCCATGACCCAGCTTGTTCCAGTGCGTGAAAGCCCAGAGCCAACTTCCTTGTCCAATAATATTTGTTAAGCACTACTGGCATGCGATCCCAGAAAAATGAATCCCTCTTGCAGGTGTGTCTTCCCAGCCTGCAAGTGGAACGGCTTCCAGAAGAAGGAGCCGGCATGGTCCTGCAGGAGGCTGGAGGAGGGCTGTGCCCCTGGTACCCACAGGGGCAGGGGTGACTGAGTGACTGAGGACTACCCCCCATCGGGATGTTATTAGCCATTACCAGAAGAGCTAATGCATCTAAGCAATTTTGCCACCTGCAAGGCAGCCCCTGGGAGGTGCCGTTATCTTCTCCCCCATTCCAGCAGGTGCAGAAGCCCCAGGTCGCACAGGTCGTTTGTGAAAGAGAAGGGGGCATCCAAATCCAGACGGCCCAGCAGATTCGCGTGTGCTGACTGATGAAGGTGGGAGGGAGGGAGGGAGGGAAGTGAATAAATAGATGGCCGGACAGAGACATACAGCCAGGCCAAGAGGACTTGTTGCTGTTGAATACCACAGACTCTGGGCCTCGGTTTCCTCATCTGTAAAATGGATGGGCTTTGCAAAACAAACATCTTCATGACTTTGGATTTGTCAGTGATTTCTTGGCTATGACACCAAAGGCACAGGCAATAAAAGAAAAAATAGACAAACTGGACTTCATGCAAAGTAAGAAATTTTTCATATCAAAAGACAGTATTCATAGAGTAAAAAGGCAACCCACACAATGGGAAAAAATTTGCAAATCATATACCTGATAAGAAATTGATATTCAGAATATATAAACTCCAAAAGTGCAACAACAACAATAAAAGAATCTGATCCAAAAACACTCAAAGGACTTCAATAGATAAGAAAGTACACAAATGGCAGATAAGCACAGGAAAAGATGCTCAGCATGACCGTCATTCGAAAAATCGAAATTAAAACCCCAGTGAGAAACCACCTTGCATTCATTAGGAGGGCCACTATCACAAAAACAAAATAACAGGTGTTGGTAAAAATGTAAGGGAATCACAATCCTGGCACATGGTCAGTGGGAATGGAAAATGGGGCAGGTGCTGTGAAAAACAGTATGGCAGTTCCTCAAAAGATTACAAATAGAATGACCACATGATGCAGCAACTCCATTTCGGGGTATACACCCCAAAGAATTGAAAGCAAGGCCTCAAAGAGATATTTGCACACTCAGGTTCACAGCAGCATTATTCACAATCATTCAAATGTAGATGCAACCCAAATATCCATCAGTGGATGAACGAGTAATAATCAAATGTCACAAATACAAGGTGTGGGTGTTCAGCCTTAAAAAGGAAGTTTTCAACACAGGCTACACCATGGATGAACCTTGAGGAATTATGTTAAGTCAAATAAGCCAGTCACAAAAAGACAAATACTGGAGGATTCCACTTTTACGAGGTAAGTTAGAGCAGTCAGAATCATAGAGACAGAAAGTAGGAGGGTGGTTGCCAGGAGCTGAAGGGAGGAGAGAATGAGGAGTTAGTGTTGAACGGGCACAGAGTTTCCATTTTATGAGATGAAAGGGGTTGTGGAGATGATGGCGGTGCGGGTTGTACATTATGAATGCACTTAATGCCACTCGACTGTACGTTCAAAAATGGGCAAGACGGCAGATTTTATGGTATGTGTATTTTACCACAATAAAAAGATAATACATTTAAAAAATATAGATGGGCCCTGGACTCCTCTGGCCACCTGTGCCCCGGGAGGCAGGATGGCTCCATGTGCTGTGCCCAGGTCAGCGGAACTGGGCTCAAATCCCGACTCTGCCACTTTTGTAGCTTTGAGACCTGGCGTCTGTCAGCCAGATTCTTTACCTATGCAAGGGGGACATAGGTCCATGAAAGTGCCATGTAAATGGGCAAAAGACGAGTCCTTTGGTCACGTCCTAAACCCCACCCTGCAACAGTTGTGCTCAGCAGAAAACCCTCTGTGCCAGGGCACTGCTGGAGCAAGGAGGGGCTCCTACAGGCTCTCTCGGGTGCGCAGGAGCGTGCCAGCCAGTGGGTCTCGAGTTTCCTTCTCCGTGTAGCACACCACGTGCTTGCCGGCCGCTTCCACATTCATGGCCAGACTAATTCCTGAACTGGGGAAGGAAAAACCAAGTGCAGATCTGGAGAAACAAAGGTAGCCCCAGGTGCTCGGGCCTGGCTTCCTTCCCTGTCCAGTCTGCGCCCCGCACCCTCTGCCCTCTCAGCTCTGCTTCCTCCATCCAATCCTCACTTGGCCCTGAAAATTCCAAACAGAGTAGACACACGTGGCTCCTGCCCATCCTGTGCAAACTCGTGGGTCCCCGAAGGAAGACATATCTTCCTATGGCTGGAAGATGGCGCAGTCCTATTTCCTCCCCATGCTATAAATAAACGACTCACAGACAGCAGTTCTAGGCAGAGGGGATGGTGTCAGGGAACACTGCAGGCCCCCACCTCCCCTCTGCGTGTAGTTTTGCATCCACTCATTCATTCAATCAACATTCATTGTGCTCCTGCTGTGTGTCAGGTACTGACAGACGAAGTTGAGGAGAGATGGCCCCTGCCCTCCCAGGGTTCACAGCCACCAGGGAGACAGGTGCTCATCACATTATCGCCCAAAGAAATACACCACAAACTGGGATGACTGCTGTGAAGTATAGGCAGGTGGCATGATGAGGACATTTTAAAGGGAGGCCTGTCATTGCTTGGGGAGGGGACCAGGTAGGGAACGCCTCCCCGGAGGTATAGATATCTGAACTGAGAGCGCAAGGACGTGAGTACTCAAGGGTGCAGAAGATGGGGTAAATCAGTTCCAGCACAGGATGCAGCATGTGCAAAGGCCCAGGGCTGGAGTGGGCCATGACAAGTTATAGAAATGCAAAGGAGGCCACTGCTCCTGAAAAGGAGAGGGGGCACGGGAATGGGGGAGTGAGATGGGGTGGGAGAGGTAGACACAGGCCTTGCAGGTCATGAGAGAGTGCCGTGTGAATATGACCATTTCCCTGAGGATGCCCCAGTCCTCAGCACGGGGTGGCTGGAATTCACACAGGGAGCCACAATCTTACTGACTTCAGAGGGAGGGAGTGGAATTTGGGCTGTCAGAGCCCAGGAAAGTCCCGGGGATGGGGGGAAGTGAGGACGTCCTGCAAGGCAAGAGGCAGAGCCCCTTGAAACTTGGTCTGACTCCTGTTTCTGGCCATGGTAGAGCTGCAGGGGCTGCATTTACCTACTGCTTTAGATGAGTTAGAAAGCCAGACAAATATATAGAAAGCAGTGTTTCAGACACAAGAAACATGCAGCACCAGAATGATGCCTGTGAGAAATGGAACAAATGACATGAGCCTCCAACCAGCCCAGCTCCCTGCCTGGGGAGAGCTTCCAGGTGTGGCCCAGGGAGGACAAACCAAGCCAAGCCCAGGCAGGGGGGCTCCATGAGCTCAAGCGACAGAGTTGAACATCCAGGATGGCCAAGGCAGCTGGAGTTTGCTGGACAGAGAACTGGGAAGAAGAGAGTGGCACGGAGAGAAAGACAATATCAAAACATCTAATACTCTTAATTGAAATCCCTAAGAGAAGAAAGATTTGTGCAGATAAATATTTTTTGAAAGAATGATAGCAGAACCATTCCAAATATGGGAAAAGCCATAAATTTACAGGTTCAAGAAGTTTAGAGGACTCCAAACAGGATAAATTCAAAAAAAGGCACACCCGAACACATCATAATCAGATTAACTGAAAACCAAAGATAAATATCTAAAAAGCAGCCAGAGAAAAAGCACACCTACCACAGTGATAAATAATGACTGAAGATTAACCAGAAAAAATGGTTGTCAGAAGACACAGAAACACATCTTTAAAAGCATGAAACCAAAGAACTGTCAACTCAGAATTCTACATAGAGCAAAAATTGTCAAGAAAGAAAGAAAAAAAAAAAAGACACATTCTGAGGAAGAAGAAGAAAAGAATTAAAGAATCCAACACCAGTAGACCTACTCTAAAAGAAAGGATGTTCTTCAGACAAAGGAATTACACCAGTATAAGACTTGGAACTTCAGGAATGAAGGAAGAACAACAGAAAAGGTAAATATCTGGTAAATATAATGGGCTACTTTTCTTCTCCAAAGTACCTAAAATGTATATAAGCTATCAAAAACAAATATTATAACATTATCAAGAGG